ATTTCCCCCTTAGGGTTTCCCCATATTATTGTGTATTAATGACTTGTGATAATTATTGTTGATGATTGATGTGATGATCCAATGGGGGATCTTGATAATCTTGATATTGAGAGATTCTTGATAATTATGATATTCTTGATGATTATATGGATTTCCTGATGATTATGTGTTGTTCTTGATAATTGGGTGATGATCTTGATGATTATGTGTTATTCTTACCGAATCTTGCAATTAGAAGACGAACCGTATTCGTGTTGATATAAAAGTGATTAGAACCCTAGGTTGTATCGTATGATCTTATTCTTGGATTATCGGGTGGGGAAATCGCATGTTTGGGTGTTGATTATACTTAGAAAAGCATGATAGGTTATGTGCCGTTCGTTCCTCGTATTTGATTCGTTAATTGTCTACGGGTTGTCGTTAATTGTGTTGTAAAGTGTCTAAGTATGGTTTCGGGTTCCATAACGGTTCCCGGGGCGTAAAGTGTGTGAAAGGAGTCAGTGGGGGGTAGGTGGGGGGTAGGGGACCCGCCACCTACCCATAGCCGTAAACCACCGCCTGGCAGCGGGTGGCCGGCGGGCGGGCAGTTGCCCGCCGGCGACCCGCTGCCCGGAACAGTAGAAACCGGCGGGCAGCCAGCGGGTGGCCCACCACCCACCGGCTACCCGCTGGAAAGTCGTCCTACCCGGGACCCCGGCTTCCCCGTTTGACGTCCCCCATTCCCCGTGGTGTCCCAACGGACTCCGTTTATCGTGCCTATGTCTAGTTTGATGTTTCGGGTACCGTTCGTAGGTTTATGGGTCTATTATATTGCATGCTAGTTGAATTGGTATCCTGTTGACCTAGGTGGAAGAAGTATGAACCCCTTAGGACTATTCTTAGTAAGTGATGGATCACGCATAGGTTTTGTTATACGTTCTCTCCCCCTTCCTAATGTGTAATGTGGGTTGCATGTGCTTGCTATGTGTTATGTGTGTGTTACCCCAATTCGGTTGCGATCGGATTGGTTATCCTGAGCTGTGGTTCAGAAGCTAGCTGCGGTCAGATTGATACTCTTGGGCTGCGGTCCACCGTTTGGTTGCGATCAAACGTTTCTATACGAGCTGCGGTTCGTCCTTTTTCCTGGCTACGGTCAGATGACATTCTCTTGGGCTGCGGTCCACCGTTTGGTTGTGATCAAACGTTTCTATACGAGCTGCGGTTCGTCCTTTTTCCTGGCTGCGGTCAGATGACATTCTCTTGGGCTGCGGTCCACTGTTTGGTTGCGATCAAACACTATGATGAGCTGCGGTTCATCGGTCGGTTGCGATCGACCCCTCCGTGTTGCGATACGGGGCAGGGTGCTGCGGGGCCGTGTCAGAGCTATATGCGCTGACCCTCATGTATGGGCATGTGATTGGTCCTGTGGCGCCAACAAACTGCGTTATGTGTTGTGACATGGACGAGTTGTGATTACGAGTGTCTTGGGGGATGTGACTATGGGATTTATATTGGGGATTGTTCATGTTGGGTTATGATCATTGTTTATGCTTTGCCTTATCTGCCTTATCTGTTGTGAACTGTATATGCTCGTTATAACTGTTGCTTGTGTCTGGCCTTATCTGTCGAGTCATTCCCGGTTTTTAAAGCTAGAGTTCGTAGGATATATCTTCATGCTCAAAATGGTTTTCGTATATCTATATATATCTCTATATGTATTGTATTTCAACGCGTTGGAGTGGGTTACCAGCATCTCTCGCTGAACAGATATATTTGGCTTTCAGGCACAGAGGACTAGAGCACTGGAGCGCGCTAGAACTGGAGCGTAGAAGTAGAGTAGTTTCCCTTTCGGCCTGCGTGCCATGTTATGCATTGTGTTCAATGGATATTAGTTAGATAGCCTGTGCACCTGGGTTCTCTAGCCCAGGTGTGGCATAGCACCCCGTACACTTATGATATACTTTGGGATGTAATGAGATATTACCTTTATTATATAAGCTTAAAATGTCTTGAAAATCTGGGGTGTTACACCATACCCCACCCCGGGTCCCCGGCTTCCCCGTTTGATGTTCCCCGTTCCCCATGGTGTCCCAACGGACCCCGTTTGTCGTGCTTGAGTCTAGTTTGGAATTTCGGGTACCATTCATAGGTTAAACGAGTCTTAGGAATTGCATGCTAGTTGAATTGGTAACCCGTGGACCTAGGTGGAAGTTATATGAGCCCCTAGGAATTATTCTTTGTATGTGAACGATCACAAGTAAGCTTAATTATATGTCTCCCCCTCCCTATGTGAATTATGTGATATTACGTGTTATTGTGTGTTACGTGATGCATGACCCCAACTTGGTTAAGATCAATTGGGCTATACGGGCAGTTGAATGGGTTGAGAACCATCCCAATTGTTAACCAGGTCGGTTAAGATCGGTCAGGGATATTGATATGATATAGGACTGAGGTCCACTATACGGGCAGTTGAATGGGCTGAGAACCATCCCAACTGTTAACCAGGCTGGTAGAGACCGGTCAGTTATATAGAGATTATGTATAGGACTAAAGGTCCACATGGGCCTCGGTGATATGACCCACCGACCTGGACGCGCCAGGCGGTGTGTAGGGCCAACAAGCCGAGGAAGGCTGTAGTCCACCGACCTGAGTAATCAGGCGGTGTGTAGGGCTACGGCTGGCTGCGATCCACCGAGTGGTGGGACATCGGTACGTAGGACCGTAGTCTCCGAGGATCTTTGCCCACCGACTGAGTTTAGCTCAGCGGTGTGTCGGGCTTGATCCGCTACGGTCCACCGATTGTGCGCATCAACGGTGTGTAGGGTCGTAAGTCCCCCTTGTAAAGGGGATCGCGGTTCACCGACTAGGCGCGTCAGCGGTGTGTTGGATCGTGATCCGACGTTGAGTTCGTCAGCGGTTCTCAAAGGGTTGGTTGCGATCAACTCCCCTCGTACCGCGGTACTGAGGTAGGGTGCTGCGGGGCCGTGTTAATGCTATAAGCATTAACCCTCATGTTCGGGGCATGCGATTGGTCCCGTGATGCCATCAATGATTATGTGATATGAATGATGATTGGATGATGATGTGGATTGGAATTGAGAAGTGGCTTGTGACCGTAAATGCGTATTTCTTATAATGTTATTTCTACTTAACTGCTTATTGTTGTCTGATGTGCTTATCCCGATTTGCTGAGTCTATTCCTGGTTTTAAAACTAGTGTCTCTTAAGTATATATCTTTCTGCTTCGAAATGATTTTCGTATATCTATATATATATCTATCTATACTATATTTCAACGCGTTGGAGTGGGTTACCAGCATCTCTCGCTGAACAGATATATTTGGCTTTCAGGAACAGAGGAGTAGACACTGGAGCGCGCTAGAGATTTGGAGCGTAGAGTAGATAGTTTCCCTTTTCGGCCTGCGTGCCATGCTCATGTATTTATATTATTCAGGATATTAGTTAGTTAGCCTGTGCACCTAAGTTCTCTAGCTCAGGTGTGGCATAACACCCCGTACTCTATTATATTATGTTTTGGGATTTAATGAGAATTTACCTTTATCATATTAGTTTTAAAAGTTTCAAAATTTCGGGGTGTTACAGTTGGTATCAGAGCCTAAGTTTGACCCTAGGATAAGACTCGTAAGACCAGACTTTAGGACATTAGGCTTGAACTCTAGGTATTTAGGAACATAGGATTTAGGAATCTTAGGACGCACGGTGAGATTGTGAGCCTACCTATCATCACATAACCTCCCCTCACTTTATCCCTCACTAATTTAAAGAATTTCCCCCTTCGCTTATCACATCAAGGTAAGGGTACAACACACTAACTCTTCATTCAAGATACTTACCCTAGAAATCTGTGATGTCCTTGCATGCTTTTACCTGCTTTGTTGATTATCACTCTTTGATTACCACACTTGTTTAATTGCCTAAGCATATGTTCCTAATTGGTTTTAGACCAAGTTAGGAACTGCATATTATTGTTTAACTATTTGATCAAACATGCGCTATTTGGATATCTGTTACTTGATAAAGTATTTTGGAACTTGCAATTAGTAATTTCATTCGGCTTATAAGAGCTCACTTGTCCTAATCATAATTGACCAATATAGTTAACTCACTTATAGCCCGATAAGTACTTACATGAGTTGCATGGAGGGAAATTAATGGGGAACATAGCATTAATTAAGAAGGGGAAGGATGGGGCGTAGGATCCTTATGATATCTAGTTGAAGTCTCCCATATTCCTTTGTAGTATCATAATAACGTGATCCCTTGAGTTTTCCATGTATTCAAACCCCTTTCGTTGCTCACATAAAGTATGGAATTCCTTGAAACTTATAATCACTAGTACAAAAAATATCAATAAAATCTAATAATTTGCGTCCAAAGTTTAAACTTTGGACGCCTAAAGTGCAGTGCGGTTGCAATTTCGTAATTAAATTGCCACTTTATAATTTACTTTTTATTTTAAAAAATAATTCGCGTCCAAAGTTACAAACTTTGGACACGAATAATTGAATGCGGACATCATTCGCGTCCAAAATTCCCAACTTTGGACTTGGACTATTTTTAGGATTTTAAAACAAAAACCCTTCCCACTGTCCGCCCCAATCCTCTTCTCCAGAACATACATAAACCACAAAATACCCCACATCTACCCCCGCCGCCGCCGACTATTTCAATCTTCCCTTCGCTTCGTCGCGGCCACCACCGTTCCTTGCACAACTTCGCCGCCGCCGTTCCTCGCACAACTTCATCGCAGCCAGTCTCCAGCGCTGTGGCCTTCGCCACCGGTCTCCAGCCCCGCCGCCGCCGATCCACGCCGCAAGGTCGCCTCCGTAAGGTTCTCGCCGCAAGCAAGTCGCAAAGTGTGACATTTAGGGTTTTAGATTAGTTTTTCCTTTTGTTCCTAGTTTAATGTTAGTTTGGGCTTTAGGGATTTGGATTCTCATTTCTCGGTTCTATTTCAATTTTTTTTTTTGAAACGTTTCAGTTTTTAAGGGGAAGGGTGAAAAAGGATGATAGTGGAAGCGAAGATGTGCGGTGTAACACCCTGAAATTTCAAAAACTTTTAAAGACTATGTAACAAAGGTAAATGATCATAAATCCGAAAATGCTTATAAGAATACGGAGTGTTATGCAACACCCGAGCTAGAGAACTCAGGTGAACAGGCTAAATTCTAAACCTCAATCAGTATCAATACAAAATCATGGCACGCAGGCCGAAAGGGAAAACTATCTAATCTACGCCCCAAGCTTTTAGCGCACTCCAGTGATCTACTCGTCGATGCCTGAAAGCCAAATATATCTGTTCAGCGAGAAATGCTGGTAACCCACTCCAACGCGTTGAAATACAATACATATAGATATATACGTAGTTATACGAAAAACCATTTCGAAGCATGAAGATATATCCTAAGAGACTCTAGCTTTCAAAACAGGGAATAGACTCAACAGATAGAGCTTAGCACAGACAACAGTCATAATCAAGCATATACACTTCATAAGCATAGCTGCCCACTGCCGGTGTTGCCCAAATAGGCCGCGGGTAAGTGGCGGGTCCCCTACCCCCACCTACCCCCCATTGACTCTTTTTCATCAAAAACGCCCCGGGAACCTTTGCGGAACCCGAAACCATGCTTAGACACTTTCAAACGCAATTGATAACACACGTAGACAATTAACGGATCAAAATCGAGAAACATACGACACATAACCTATCATGCCTTTCTAAACATAATCAACACCCAAACATACAAATTCCCACCCAATCTACCAAGAATAATACCATACGAATTCCACGATATAACCTAGGGTTCTAATTATTTTTAAATCAACAAGAACACAATTCATCTTCTAATATCAAGATTCGGTAGGAATATCATATAAACATCAAGAACATCGTATAATCATCAAGAACACCAAGAACACCATATAATCATCAAGAACCTCTTATCATCAAGATTACCCATGGAATCATAACATCAATTACCAAGATCATTATAACGAATCATCAACACACAAGAATATGGGGGAAATCCTAAGAGGGGAATCATAGCTATGAAAATAGGTTTTGTTGAGACATGGGTTACCTCTTAGCCTTAATTAATTACTTGGCTATGAAGGGTCTTTCTTTAAGCTTTCTTCTTTCTTGATTTCTCCTAGGGGAATTTTTGGAATTCTTGGTGTGGTGAGAGATTATTGTGGTGGGGGTTCTAGGTGCCTCCTATGTCCCCTATTTATATATCTAAGAGTCCTAATTAGGGTCCAAATACTATAGGCTTGCTAACTCTATTCCTTTTAGGACTAGGGGTTGGGTTTAGAGAAGAGGGCCCACGGACTATGGTGGGCCTTTTCCTAATTAATTATTGTAATTTAATTCTTTCTTTTGGGCAATTGGTTAAATGATTAATTGGTTTTAGGGGTCGTAACACGGGGTGTTACACTCTCCCCCCCTTACAAGGGGCTTCGTCCCCGAAGCCCGGTGTGTTAATCCTTTCTTTCACCCCTCGACATCCCGCTTCTTGGCCTCCTGGTTAGGAATGTGGCCCCGCGTTTTGCCTTAGCTGGGGTAGACTGGACTTCTGGTGGTGTTGTGATAGGAAAGTTTGGGTCTACCTCGATTTCCTGCTCCTGAGCTGGACGCCTCGCGAGTGCCCAAGGTGGCCTCGATTGCTGCCACCCTCTGATCTAGTGCGCGTGTCGTCCGGATCAAGGATGAGAACCCTTCCTCCATGATTTGGTTTTTCCGGTTGAGTTGTGCGAGTATGCGCTCATTGATTGAGCTCTCGTTTTACTCCCTTGGGTTCCCTCCCGATCGTGGGTGCAATGATGGGTTAGGCTCGTCATCATCCTCCTGATCCTCATTTCCCTCCAGACCCCCACAATCTTGCATTGCTCGTTTGAGCTTTTTGTTGGAGATGTCCAATCGGTCAACCAACTCCCTACGTTCCTCTTCGGGTTTGAGACAAATTTCCTCGAGGGTGACATATTGTCCTCCCTCGGTGTAGTAGATATCATTGCGTCGGAGGTTCTGGGCATTAAAAATCATGCCATTTACAGTCTTGACCTCGGTGTGGCTTAGGTCCACCCCCTTTTTCTCCATGATCTAACTTAGGATCATCCCGTAGGGCAGGCTAAGTCGGTTGCTTGACTTGCAAAATTCCATGTGTTTTAGCATGAGGGCCAGTAGGTTGAACTTGATTTTGTGCTTCAAGAGATAGGCAAAGGTGCACTCTAAACTCCCCACGTCATTGCTCTTATTGTTCGTGGGCAAGAGGCTATCGGTTACAATCATAACCAATATCTTTTGCTCCGCCGATAGCCACTTTCTATTCGGTCGTGTGGCCGAGGTGAATCCCTCCTCTTTCCCGAGTAGGTACCCGAGATAGTCTTTGTACCCCATGTTTTGGGTATCAATCCACCCTTTTCGGTCGTAGTTTGACACACCCGTGGTGGTCAATTTCAAGAGCTTGGCCAAACGGCCTTCGGAGAGTATAATTTCCTTGCCGCGGACCTTGGTGGCGATTTCTAGCTTATCACCCCGTTTGGTGGCTACGAGATGTTGATAGAATTCTTTTACCAATTCGGGGTACGTATCCCCCTTGATGGTGAGATACGTATCCAAAATCCCTTGGTGATTAAGCATATCAACCAATTCCGGAGAAAATTGATCGGGTTCAAGGGCTTTACCTCTGATTACGGTGTAGCCGGCGTTGCTCCATTCTGGGGTACGGGTCCCGAGGGGTTTCTTCGGCATTTTTGGGGTAGATGACACTTTTCCGGTGGGTCCCCGGCGCGTTTTCCGGCTGGTTTTCCGCCGGGAAGTTTTCTCCGTTTGCGAGGGAGGTGACGGCGAGCTGAGTTCCGGCGTTGGCTCGGTGAGGGGGGGTGACGGCGTTGTGGTGGCGTCGGGTGGTGTGCGGCAGCGGGCGGCGTCCAGGTGGGCGACGGGCGGTGCTGGTGTCGCGGTTTCCTCCGGCGGCAGCGGCGGCGTGCAGTGGTTACGACCTGGGCGGCCGGTCGTGACTTGGTCGCTGGTGGCGGTGGTCTCGGAATTCCGACGTCGAGGGAGGGGGGCGACGCTGTGTTATGGAATGGGAAGGGAAGAAAGTGGGGTAGAGGAAGAAGAAGAAGAGGGTTTTTGATTTGGGGATTTTAGGGGTTTTAGGGACTTGTAAGGCTTTAAGAAGAAAGTGTTCCTTTAAGGTTTCAAGAAGTACTCTTAGCTTAGTGGTCAAGACCTTGGTTTTACATGTGGGAGGTCAAGGGTTCAATTCCCATTGGCAACACTAGGATTTTCTTGATGGTGGGGTCCTTGTCTTTTTCCCTCTTTTGTCTTCTAGTGGTGGGAGGCTTGGCTTGTTATATAACTTTGGTTCCATCTCTGTAAGTAAGATCGAATTTCGATCTAGTTTTTTATTCATAATAATTCCGAAGTAATTGCTAAATAAGTAGTTTTACTACGAAGGTGATTACAATGAATTTTGCCGGTTTATCCTAGACAGAAATCGTCTTCCTGGTTTTCATCCGCGGGGTTTGCGTGGTCCTCGTCTTCTGGGGTTAGGTTCCCTCCTCGAGATTGCCCTCGTTCCCGAGGTCGACCTGGGTGCGGCTCATGACAAATATTTTCCCAGGAGCGCCGTAGTTCCCTTGGTGGGTGGTGCCCCCGTGTTGACCCATGGTGGTGGGGCGTGGCCTTTGGGGTTGAGTGCACTGGAAGACCTTGTGCCCCTCTTCACCGCAGTTGAAGCATCGCCAGGGATTGCCCATGCAGTCTTTACCTCTATGGCATTTGTTGCATTTTGGGCAAGAGAAGCTCCTTGCGTTAGCTTCGCTGTTCCCTAGGGGCGGCCTTTGGTTGGTCAGATTGCCTGGTCTTGTGTTGGTGTCGTTTCTCGTCCTTTTCACCGGTGGCGCTCCAACCCCGGTGTTTCTCTTACGTATCTATTCCTGAACCCCTCGTTGGAGTAGTTGGATTCGATAGAGATTTGCGGCACTGGAGTAAGCCTCGTTGAGGGTCCGAGGTCTACTTACTACTAGTGCTTTTCGGGCTTCGAAGTTGAGGCCTGATACGAATCTCTCTATTTTGGTCACCTCGGTGGGGACTAGTTCTAGCGCGAAGCGTGCTAGTTCGAGGAATCGTTTATGGTATTCCATGACGGTAGTTGTCCCTTGTTTCAAATGGAGGAACTCTTCGTACATGGATGCTTTTACGTGTGTTGGGTAGAATCGTTCTCGTAGTCGCATTTTGAGGTTTTCCCAGTTGAACCCTGGTTCTTGTTGGTAAGCGGGCCCCTCGTGGACCCACCAGAGATCGGCCTCGTGTCCGAAGTAGAACGAGGCTATCTCCACGCGTCGTTCTTCTGGGCATTCCACTAACCCTAGAATTTTGTCGAGGGTCCGGTTCCATTCCTCCAGGATCACGGGGTCCTCTTCTCCTGAGAACGTGGGTGGTCGATGGTTTGAAACTTGTTGGGCGACGTCTGAGTTCGCGTTTGATGGAGGAGGCGGGGGCCTGTTGTTGCGAAGAGCTACGTCGCTTAGTGCCTGGGCGACTTGCGTTAGTTGTTGGAGTGTTTGGGTCAGGGGGTCGTGTGTGGCGGGTTCTGGAGTCCTTGATTGTCTTCTGTTTGGCGCCATGCTATCGTCTTTCTGGGTCAATGTTCATAAGAACGTTAAGTTAGAGCTCAGTGCTCTTCTTTCGATGTGATAAGCGGGGGAAAAAGTTCTCTTTAGATAGGGGAGGGATAAAGTGAGGGGAGGTTATGTGTAGGTTTCACAATCTCACTGCGCGTCCTAGGATTCCCGAATCCTATGTCCCTAAGTACCTAAAGTTCAAGTCTATGTCCTAAGGACTGTCTTAATAGTCTTATCCTAGGGTCAAACTTAGGCTCTGATACCAACTGTAACACCCCGAAATTTCAAAAACTTTTAAAGACTATGTAACAAGGGTAAATGATCATAAATCCCAAAATGCTTATAAGAATACGGAGTGTTATGCCACACCGAGCTAGAGAACTCAGGTGCACATGCTAAATTCTAAACCTCAATCAGTATCAATACAAAATCATGGCACGCAGGCCAAAAAGGGAAAACTATCTAATCTACGCCCCAAGCTTCTAGCGCGCTCCAGTGATCTACTCGTCTGTGCCTGAAAGCCAAATATATCTGTTCAGCGAGAGATGCTGGTAACCCCCTCCAACGCGTTGAAATACAATACATATAGATATATACGTAGTTATACGAAAAACCATTTCGAAGCATGAAAATATATCCTAAGAGACTCTAGCTTTTAAAACAGGGAATAGACTCAACAGATAGAGCTTAGCACAGACAACAGTCATAATCAAGCATATACACTTCATAAGCATAGGGAAACAGGCAAGGCAGATAAAGATAAGCACAGTAATATCCATAACCCAACATATACGATTCCCAACGTAAATCCCAAAGTCACCTCCCAAGACACTCATAACAACAACTCATCCACATCTCATCACATAGCACACTTTGTTGGCGTCACAGGACCAATCGCATGCCCATACATGAGGGTCAGCGCATATAGCTCTGACACGGCCCCGCAGAACCCTGCCCCGTATCGCAATACGGAGGGGTCGATCGCAACCGACCGATGAACCGCTGCTCATCATAGTTTGATCGCAACCAAACAGTGGACCGCAGCCCAAGAGTATGTCATCTTACCGTAGCCAGGAAATATGAACCGCAGCTCATGTAGAAACGTTTGATCGCAACCAAACGGTGGACCGCAGCCCTATATAATATTTATATACCTGACCGATCGCAACCGTCCTGGTTAACAGTCAGTATGGTTCTCAACCCATCCAACTGCCCGTATAAACAATTTGATCGCAACCAAATTGGGGTATCATGCACACATAACACATAGCAAGCACATGCAACCCACATTAACACATTGGGAAGGGGGAGAAAACGTATAACAAAACCTATGCGTGATCCTTCACATACTAAGAATAATCCTAAGGGGTTCATACTTCTTTCACCTAGGTCAACGGGATACCAATTCAACTAGCATGCAATATATAAGACTCATACAACCTACGAACGGTACCCGAAATATCATACTAGACATAGGCACGATAGACGGAGTCCGTTGGGACACCACGGGGGTCGGGGAAACATGAAACGGGGAAGTCGGAAACCCGATGTAGGGCATTTTCCAGCGGGTAGCAGGTGGGTGAGGGTTCACCCGCCGGCTGCCCGCCGGTGGCGTGGCTCCGTGCAGCGGGTGCCCGGCGGGCAGCTGCCCGCTGCCGGTACTGCCCAAATAGGCCGCAGGTAGGTGGCGGGTCCCCTACCCCCACCTACCCCCACTGACTCTTTTTCATCAAAAACGCCCCGGGAATCTTTGCGGAACCCGAAACCATGCTTAGACACTTTCAAACGCAATTGATAACACACGTAGACAATTAACAGATCAAAATCAAGAAACATACGGCACATAACCTATCATGCTTTTCTAAACATAATCAACACCCAAACATACAAATTCTCACCCAATCTACCAAGAATAATACCATACAAATTCCACGATATAACCTAGGGTTCTAATTATTTTTAAATCAACAAGAACACAATTCATCTTCTAATATCAAGATTCGATAGGAATATCATATAAACATTAAGAACATCGTATAATCATCAAGAACACCATATAATCATCAAGAACCTCTTATCATCAAGATTACCCATGGAATCATAACACCAATTACCAAGATCATTATAACGAATCATCAACACACAAGAATATGGGGGAAATCCTAAGAGGGGAATCATAGCTATGAAAATAGGTTTTGTTGAGACATGGGTTACCTCTTAGCCTTAATTAATTACTTGGCTATGAAGGGTCTTTCTTTAAGCTTTCTTCTTTCTTGATTTCTCCTAGGGGAATTTTTGGAATTCTTGGTGTGGTGAGAGATTATTGTGGTGGGGGTTCTAGGTGCCTCCTATGTCCCCTATTTATATATCTAAGAGTCCTAATTAGGGTCCAAATACTATAGGCTTGCTAACTCTATTCCTTTTAGGACTAGGGGTTGGGTTTAAAGAAGAGGGCCCACGGACTATGGTGGGCCTTTTCCTAATTAATTATTGTAATTTAATTTTTTTTTGGGCAATTGGTTAAATGATTAATTGGTTTTAGGGGTCGTAACACGGGGTGTTACATGCGGCCACAGTCTCCGAAGAAGAAGGAGGCGCTGGGATGGATGGAGTAGCTGAGGGGGTTGTTGTACGTGGTCTATGAGATGCTGTTCCAGAGGTACATCTCTCCTTCACAGATACACCTCTTTGATATTGATATTCCTGGTAAAATAACTTTTATGGCATCTAAGACCCTCACTGCCGGGCAGACTCCTACCATTGTGGACATTGGTAATTCTCATACTTTATTATTTAGTTATAGATTTGAACTTGTTATTACTCAAAAAAAGATTCTCCTTAGGTATGAAAGATAATTTTATTTAATTCTCATTATATATTTTGCAGAGGTTGGATGAATTGGTATAGGCATTTGTTATGATATTCGCTTTCAGGAGCTAGCTACGTTATATGCAGCAAGAGGTCATTTCTTTTCCTTTAAAGCCATTCTGCTCATACTGCTTTATTAATAACCAAACATATAGTTTCTAGTAATATCACATATATTTATGCTTTTCCACTTTGATAATCATATAACTGTATTTATTGCTTTGTTTTAGTTAGAATACTCTATTCTTCATGCATATCGATATGTTATTCTCAACACACCTCTTAACAGATTGCCCACTGCTTCTTTTTATCTGGGAAAAATTAGTAGCATTCAGTTACACACAAAAAGAAGAATAAACTTTACTTGATCCATAGTGTCATTGGATGGTGTATGCCTCTACCATTGGCTTTAATGTTTCATATTAGCAGGAAGTATTAACATGTTGTTTGTTACACACTGGGTGGTGTTTAATTTCTGTAGGTCTACTCACCCAAAACAAGAAAATATTAACTTTTACAGTCCAACTCCTTGTGATAGCTAATCATTCTAATTGCCTTTCATTATGTTTAGAAAGCTAGTTCATCATTCTGTGAACTTTTTATTTATTTATTTGTTTGTTTTTAAGATAAATGTTCTGATACCATAACCAACGGACTTCTCTTGTTATATATATATATATATATATATATATATATATATATATATATATATATATCAAAACTTTTAATATTTTTCCACATAAGTTTATCATAATACCATTTAAATGCTCTGTTCATACTTTTTCTCGCATAAGTTTGTCCGATAACATGCTAGTGCTTGTCTTACTTCCCCTGTAAAATAAATATTCTAACAAGCAAACTTCATTTACTGCAAATATATTTATTGGCCCGTCTTCTCCAATTTCACCTTTCCTCTTTAAATTTCTGACTTTTCATCCTAATATAACTTGAATGCAATGCTCTGGTTGACAATTAGTGGTTGCTGCTAATTTTTTTTCTTGCATTATCAGGTGTTCACTTGATCTGCTATCCTGGTGCGTTTAACATGAGTCTACTGGACCACTCCACTGGGAGTTACTGCAGAGAGCAAGGTAAATATGACATTTTTCATTTAAAGATGTTCCCCTCTTAATTGCAACTGTACTATTGCACATTGCCAAGTTCTCTGTTTTGCAACGCATAATATATTGTGATGTTAGTTGTTTTATGCCATTTATACAACCCCTCTACTCAGTGGTATTACATATATTTTCTTGCTGATGACTGTTTTCTAAATTCTTATTGCAGGGCTGTAGATAATCAGGTATCTCATATACATCTTTATGTGTCTTCATTTTACAATCTGAGATAAACTTGATCTGAATTCTCTCCATCCCATTAAGTATCTGGTTGGAATAATGAGGCTGGCCTCAAATTGAAAAAGCAAAACAACTTATTGATGGGAAAATTTGATGAAAAATGGCTCTTGAGTCTTGATTGGAGAACCCAACAAACAAATCTCCAACTCAATGCATAAATGGGAAAGATATATTTATACATATATGTGACTACACTTATGAGGCATACCATATATAGACAACATGTTTATGATTATCTTTTGCAGTTGTTTGTAGCAACATGTTCACCCGCTCGAGATGCTGGTGCAGGATATGTGGCTTGGGGCCATTCCACACTTGTTGGACCAGTAAGTTGATTCCTTTTTATGTTTTTTTTTTCTTTTTTGAAACACTCATGATTCTTTACAAAGTAGTATCTGTTCTATACTTTCTCGATATTCTCAGTCCAAAGAATCAATGCTCCTCACCATCAGGGTTCGATCCTATGTTAATTTCTTGGAAGGTCATTTTGATCTGTTGGTTAGTGGCTATTGTATGCTTAATGCATTCTGCAAGTAGCCAAGTAGTCTCTCCACAAGATGAGAATAAAGAAGAGAAAAAGAAGGGATTTGACCCTTTCCTAATACAATTAGTAATTATTGATTCTTGTGATTATAACTTGTTTAGTTATGAAAAAAGATTTCTAACTTAGTGTGATCTTTTGAGTTCTTCAGTCATTATATCCAATCTGATCCCAGTTAAGTTGTTCAGATTTAAGAATTGCTAACATTTAAGTAAAGCAGGGAAGATTATAGGCAAGCATAATAATATTCCTCTAAATGTTTGTTTTGAGTCATTAGTGAAATTAGATGCATGAATAATGCCCACCAACATTTTTCCCCTCGAAATTTGATTAAATACTAAATATATCTCATTCTTATCTTTTTTTATCAAGGAATTGTCAGTCGTGGCATTTTGTGAATATATGCAGTTCTCCGTTATTTTACTTCTATTGAATGGTCTGTTTATCTTCCAGGATCACACATCCAGCTCCGGGGATTCCAGAAGAGTTAGTCCAGGAAATGTTCAACTATAGCCAAAGCATGTCGAGGGAAGGTCTTGGGTTAATTCAAGATAGGGAAGGTATAATTAATGTATACCTGAAATTCGATTCTTTAATAGTTGTGGCTAATTGGTCATTTCGCATTGTTTTTTAATCAACAAAGATTAGTTGGTAATAGTTATTCTTATATGTTTTTTTCACAATTTACTTTGTAAATTTATCCTTTTGTTTCTACCAGATAAAAATACATGCTTATATGACTATTCTTACTAGGTTAAAATGTACATAAAAATGTGGTTGATAAAGGTTTTAATAGTGGTATCACATATTCACATGAGGATATTTTATGTGGTATCTTTAACTAGTATATTTTAATTGTTAACATTTAGAATTTATAGTTTATTTGTAGTAAAATGTTATTAGAATTGAAATTTTAGATTGGTGTGTTGTAGTTGATAGAATTGGTGTGTAGTATACATCTTAAATTGATTAATATTATTTGGTAGTTCAAGAATATATTGATAGTTTATGCTGGAATGTACAGGAATATATTGATAGTTTTATAAAAAGAAAAAAAGATTTTTTTTAAAAAAATTACTACTCGCGTCCAAAGTTAGAGAACATTGGACGCGTATAGTATTTTTTTACAATAAACGCTATACGCGTCCAAAGTTCATGAACTTTAGACGCGTATAGTGTTTATTTATTTTTAAAAAAATACTATACGCGTCCAAAGTTCTTCAACTTTGGACGCGAATTATCATTTTTCGCGTCCAAAGTAGCTTTGGACGCTGATTGTATATACTATCAGCGTCCCCGACAACTGCGTCTCAGCTACTTTGGACGCGAATTATGTTTTACTTTGGACGCGAATGACTGTTTTTGTACTAGTGAATTGTGCATTCTCGGGGCTTTTCCCGATGTGATTCCTCCTTCACAACCATGTTCTAGTGGGGCCTTGGCAGGAGGTCGACCACCCACCACGTGCCCACTGCCACATTCCAGTGGGGACTTGACAGGCGGTCGACCGCCCACCTCGCGCCCACTGGTCTGGTATGTTTTCTTGATTTCTCGTTTTTTTATTGACCCATTGTGCGTCTGTGTGTCTCCCTTGATACTTCCTATGTGTTTAACCTATAAATAACAATCTAATGCTTGAACATGAAAATCGAATTATCTTCATAATTGACTTGTTTATATGTTACATAGAAATTCTAGGGACTAATTCTATTTCTAGAAATCTAAACCCTCAGATACATTGCGTATTAAGTTTCGACCCGAAATTCAATCTGAGTGAGACCAGTAGAAACCTAAAACAAGTGGTCATCTAGAAATTATCCTTGGAAAAATATGTTGCGTCCCCAAAGTATCTTAAAACTATCCCTCTAATAGACCACAAGCTCCCCTTACCTTGTTTAGGACCCTTTACCACTAAGATAAGGACCCCCCCTAAACAAACATTTATACATAAATAGGTACATCACTACTATTCTAGATATATTCCCCTAAAAACTCCTATCATATATATATATATATATATATATATAGGATTACATTCAGGTAAAAACACTTCTTAAGATACAAACCCGTGGACAAATAATAGCCTTTGGATTAAGAGGTTGGATGGGTGTGATTGTTTTGCGTGTGGATTTGTTTTCACGGTAAGGAGACGCGTTTTTTTTTAATTCAAGAGGGGTAATTGTGGTATTTTTTCTTTAGTTTCTAACCTAGTCAAATTTGTCTTAGACTTCCACGCGCAAGCTTCTACTTTGTCGACTGTCCGCTTCTTCTTCTCGTCTCTCTCCTTGCATTTAGTCCACTGCCTCCAGTCGCGTCTTTCTCTTGCTCAGACCTCAAGCGAAGTTTCTCTTCCACGTAGCGATGGTTAGTGGTGGGGACCGCGGTGCATCTAAGAGGCGGGGACCACCGGGGGGAGCTGTCGGCCGAGGTATGTCTGTAATCGTTTTTTTTTTTTTCCGGTCGTTTTGTTTTTGGTCTTTTTTTTTTTTTTTTTTTTTGTCTTCTTTTGTTTTTTTTTCTGTGTTTGTATGCATTGTAGCATTTTCTGGGTTAGAATCGGGTTCTTTTTCGCCGGATTTTGGCCGGTTTGTGAGGCTAGGGTTTTTGGATTTTGAGTTTCTTGCATTGTGCTCACGATTTGGGGGTTTATTATATTGTGGATGGAGCTGTCGGCCGAGGTATGTGTGTAATCGTTTTTTTTTTTTTTTTCCGGTCGTTTTGTTTTTGGTCTTTTTTTTTTTTTTTTGTTTTCTTTTGTTTTTTTTTTCTGTGTTTGTATGCATTGTAGCATTTTCTGGGTTAGAATCGGGTACTTTTTCGCCGGATTTTGGCCGGTTTGTGAGGCTGGGGTTTTTGGATTTTGGGTTTCTTGCATTGTGCTCACGATTTGGGGGTTTATTATATTGTGGATTCAAGGAATTTTTGTAGGGGTTGTCAATCTCTTGGATTCATTTTGCAGGTGTAGAAGATAGTTTGTGCTGTTGTAGAGTTTATGTCTTTTTTTTTTCTTTTTTTCTTTTTTTTTTTTACCGTATTATGCGTGGTTTTGGGGGGTTGGGAGTTTGTTTTGTTGGCATTATACAATTGTGTAATTACTGTATTCTGAGTGCTGAGTGAGTTTTGTATGCAATTTTGTCATTCTAGATGCAAAACAAACAGAAGACATCATCTATAATAGAGGTTCGTTATTTATATTTCACATTGTACGGTTGCAGTATTGTGTTTGTTATATATAATTTGTATTGTGTGGAGTTGTTGTTGTTATTTCTCTTGTGCGTGGCGTGTTGGTGTTGTGTGCGTGGCAATCATCCATATGATTTTATTGTGCTTTTATTCAGTGTGTGAATCTGTGCTTTCTTGTGGTTGGTGTTTGGTTTTGGTAGTATAATTTTTGCTGGTGTATAATATAGAGTGAGCAGTAGGAGTGTTGATTTACTTGCATTCTATTTTTTTTTTCCTAGCATGAGTGGTGTGATGGGGCTTCGGATGTTGGGAGTTAGAATCGGATTATTGGTATTTTTCTTTGTTTACTTATTGTGTTCTGCGTTGGGTTGTTTTGATTAGTCTATCTTCGTATGTTGTGGTTAGGAGTTATATTTACAAATCTGTTGTGCGTGGTGTGTTGTTGCTGTGTGCGTGGCAGTGTTGTTTGCAAGGGTGGATGGGTGGCTTTTTGTTTTCCATTGCGTGCGTTAAATGGTTTGGATGGTATTGTGGTTGTTTGTTTTAGGTAAGAAGTTGAGGGTGGCGCGGTGTGCTCCCGGTGGTGCTGAAAGCTGTGTGAGTGACGATGATTTTGTTTCACCTCCATTGGCTTTCCTTTCGAGGTTGCAACAAGACCCGCTTTGGAATGCCACTGATGAAGCTCCTGGTGATGATTCGCCGTCTTCGGAGCACTCTGGTGGTGAGGCGTCTTCCGAGGTGGAGTTGGATTTCCCAAGTGTTAAGGTCCGGGCTCAGGCCGCTGTGCTTGTTGATGCGGTTCAGGATTTGTCAACTCAACAAAAGGATGCCATTAGAAGTTTGGGGTTTGGGGCCCTTTTGGATTTCAAGTTGTCCGATTGCCCTCCGCGTTTGTTGCATTGGTTATTAACGAATTTTGATGGGCAGAGGAGGGTGTTTGACTTGGGGGGTGGGAGATCTTTGGGTGTGACTGAGCGGGACGTTGAGATGGTGTTGGGGTTCCCGCGTGGTGAGATTGAGATGGTGAAGCGTGAGAGGCATGATATTAGTAATTTGTTGAGGCATTGGCGGGGGTTATTTGAGAAGGTGAAACATACCGTGACTGCCGCGCAGATTTCAGATAAGGTTGTTGATGAAGTGGATGGTAGTGTCTGGTTTAAACGACATTTCTGTATGTTGGTGGTATCAATGTTGGTGTCTTGCATGAGCAACGGTTATGCCAATCAGATGTATTTCCATTGTTTTGATGATGTCCTCCGCGTTCGTGATCTAAATTGGTGTAAGTTGGTTCTGGATTCGTTGGTGGAGACGCAGGATGCCTGGAAATCTGGGCGACATAAAATCTTTGTGGGGCCGGCGGAGTTTGTTGCGGTATGTAATTATTTTCCTTTGTTTGTTATGTTTTTTTTTTTTAATTGCGTTTGTATTTAGTTTGGTCTGTGTTTGATGTAGCTCTTGTATGTTGATCGTGTGTTGCCTTTTGAGCGGTCTGTCCCCCGGTTGGTGCCTTCGTTTAGAGGATGGACATCAGAGTTGCTTGCTGCTCGTGAGTGTGCTGAGATTAGTTCCGGTGGGTTTGGGCGTGGAGTGCTTGAGCCCCCTATTCCTGATGTCGATGGGGTTGGAGATGGTCCTGAATATGGTCCAAAGGTAATCTATATTCTTGGAATTTTTAATGTGGTAGAGTACATTTCTGTTAGTTGCAAACTTTAAAAGGTTGGGTTGTAGGTCTGTTTGCATTCATTTCCCATCTCGCTTTTGTTGTAATCTGTTTTGTATTTTTTTTTTGTTGATTTAGACCTTTGAATTTGTGGTTGCTGAGGAGTTTGCTGCTCTTGAAGCTTCGGTTGGTAGTTTGTGTGCGTTGTTTAAGATGGCTCGTGGTTTGAATGTGGAGGGGGAGCATTGTCGGCGTATGTATCGTAATATTCAGCCTCGTCTGGATGATCTAGATCGTGAGGTTCAAGCACTTTCACAGCGTGATGACTTGGATGGTCTTCCAAGTTTTAGCCTTGGGTTCACCCAACTTTTCGCGGATGGTGGCTTTCGTGCTAGGTGTACGGATACAATTGGTGATATGGTTGCGAATATTAATGTTGAGTATACGTCTCCAGTTCCTGAGCGTGTTGATGTTGTTGATGCGGTAACCTTTTTCTTATGCCCTTTATTCTAGTTCTTTTGATTTTTGATCATTTTTTGGTTGGTTTGTTTAGTTCGGGGTTTTTGTAACGTGCTTGTGTGTTTTCGTTATAGGTGGTTTGTGATGAGACTGTGGGAGATGGTGCTGTGAGGGGTTGTGGGTTTGTGCCTGATCCGGCCAGTGGTGCTGGTAAAGGGACTGAATTGGGTGCTGAGGCGGTCGGGTCAGGCTCGGGTCTTCCGGGCAGTGGTGCTGAGGTTGCTACCCCTCCTGAGGTTTGTAATCTTGTTTGCTCTATACTTGCGGATGTTGTGTGCTCCCTGTGGCGTTGTATGTGCACGGCAGTTTCTGTTGGGTTTTTGTTTGTTATTACAATTCTTACACATGAATGCTATATTACGAGGGTTGTGTGCTACCATGTATGTGGTTATGTGCATGTTATGTTTGGTGGCTCTATTTTATTTTCTAAGCAGTGGTATTTACTTTTTCCAATGCGATGTGTGCTCTAAGGGTTATAAATATGTGCATTCCAGCCTGTTTTCTATTGGGTTTGTGTATGATGGTTATGGTTGTGTGCATTGTAATGTATTATGGTGTGCTTGTTTGGTTCTATGTTCGTATTCATTTTTTCTCTTTCGTTGTAGGTGGTTTGTGATGAGACTGTTGGAGATGGTGTTGTGGGGGGTTGTGGGCTTGTGCCTGATCCGAGCAGTGGTGCTGGTAAAGGGACTGAATCGGGTGTTGAGGTGGTCGGGTCAGGCTCGGGTCTTCCGGTCAGTGGTGCAGAGTTTGCTACCCCTCCTGAGGTTTGTAATGTTGTTTGCTCTATAATTTTGGATGTTGTGTGCTCCCGGTGGCGTTGTATGTGCACGGCAGTTTCTGTTGGTTTTTTTTTTTTTTTTTTTTTTTTTTTTGTTATTACATTTCTTATACACGAACTCTATATTACGAGGGATGTGTGATATTATGTGTGTGGTTATGTGCATGTCATGTTTGGTTTCTCTATTTTATTTTCTAAGCAGTTTCATTTACTTTTTCCAATGCGATATGTGCTCTAAGGTTTATAAATATGTGCATTCCAGCCTGTTTTCTATTGGGTTTGTGTATGATGGTTATGGTTGTGTGCATTGTAATGTATTATGGTGTGCTTGTTTGGTTTTATGTTCTTATTCATTTTTCCCTTCCTCATTGGTCTGTTTGTTGGTAGGAGTGTTTAAATCAGAATGTCGTTCCTGAAACCACTGTGTTGGGTGGCCCGATTTGTGCGGCCCCAATTAAAGGGGTGCGTCCTGGTAAGGCTTCTGGAGCTTCTATCCCCGTGGTTGCTACTCCCCTTGATTATCAGTCCTCTGGTCCGCGTGAATCTGTTGTGTTCCTATGCCTGATCTTCCCGAGGATGCTTTGATAGTTAACTGGTTACTTGGGGGTTCGGCTGCAAACATGTTAGTTTGCTTCTTTTGTTTTGTATTGTTGGTTGTATTTTTGATTATTACTTGTGCTTATAGTTTGGTGGTTTGTTTGTTTTAGGAGTGAAATTATTTTTTCCGTTGGGGAACGCACTGCGTCCTGGGAGAATTTGTTGTCTTTGACGCCAGGTTCTGAAGTTGATGTGGCCGTTGTGGATGCGTGGGCAGGTCTTCTTAATTGTCGGGAGGTTTCTAAGGCTCGTGCGGCCCCTTCACGTCTCTTTGCTTCTACATTCACTACGGTTGGTTTGATTTGCAAGAATTCCATGTCCGTTTTTGTTCAGTGGGTTTTTTTCGTTTTTATATTCATTTTTTTTCCCCGGTGGTTGTGTGGATTTTGTAGTTGAATACAGTTGTTGATACTTCTGAAGACGAGGACAAGAGGTTTGGGTGGTTTTGTGAGCGCTTGTTGATGGACTTGAAGTTGACTCCATACACAGATATTTGTAACATCGACATGGTATGGTTGAATACCCTTCTGAGCGCTTTTACATATTTGTGAGTGCTTTTACATTACTGTGCAGGTTTTTATGACCAATAGTGGCTTTGTTTTTTTTTTTTTTTTTCCTTTTTTTTTGTGCAGCTTTTTTTTCCCCATTCTGCGTCGCGGGCATTATTTCTTGTTGTGCATTGATTTCCCTCGTTTTCGTTATGAGATTATTGACAATGACTCTCATTCGAGGGCTAAGGCTCAGAAGTATGGTGATTGTGTTGATGATTTGGTTCGTTTTGTTCCTTTGCACCTCATCACCCAATTTTTTTTCCTTTTCTTTTCCTGCTTTTTTGTGTTATCCTGTTGGATTCATCGTTTTTCATGTGTCATTGATTTTGTTTGTTTTGGGTTTCAGATGGGCATGCTTTCTAAATTCTTTACGGATATTTCTCCTGAGAGGTCTACTGCGTGTGTTCTTGCTCACTCTAAGCGGTTGCAGATGGCCTGGCGTGATTCAAAAAATAAGATTGATTGCGGGGTCTTTCTTATGCGGCACATGGAGTCCTATTTTGGACAGCGTGTTGCCGATTGGGATTGTGGTCTAGTCAAGGGTGACACTAAGACATTGCACAAGCTCAGGTTGCGTTACATGAAGGAGCTGGTGATTTCGGAGCATAATGTGCTTAGTGCGGCCAACCTTTCGCGTGCGTACCAGTCCATATTTGTTCCTCCTCCGGTCGTTTAGCTACAAGTCTTTACTACTAGAATCTTTTTTGAGTTTTTGCTCTTTTGTTCACACGGTTGATGCAAAATGTGGTGGTAATTGTGCTTGGTGATGGTTGGATTGTGCACATGGGTTGTTGGGCTGTGCTTGTATCTTTTTGGCCATATTTCAGTTTTTTGATGTAACTGTAGTGGCAGTGCACTCTTAGTTAGGCAATTGTGTTGGATTTTTTTTGGAGGATATATGTTAGTTGTTGTTGTTTGCAAATATATAATATCTTGTGTACGCAGTAGGTTGGTGTTAATATTCGTTCTTTTCTGTGCTGGTTCCCACGGCCGTAGTTCCTATCTTTTGTGCGCCGCGTCCAATGTTGTGTGCGTGATGGGGTGTGTCCGTTTATATAATTTGAATTCGGTTATACGGGTCATAATTCTTATCTGATTACTATGTCCAATACTTGTTGACATATATTTATTATACCCTTCGGTGCGAATATGTGTTATTTTGTGTGCGTGGATGGGTGGTGTTACTTATGTTTGTGTGTTACGTTATTTTGAATAATGTAGTGCGGTTCAAAATTTTAAACTAAATAGCATGTTTTATCTTTTTTCTAATAAATTTATTATACACTTTGGTGCGAATTTGTTTTATATTGTGTGCCCGAATGTTTGGTGGTTCTTGTGTTTATGGGGTATGGTGTTATTCACGGTCCACAGGTTCGAACTGCTGTGCACCGTATGAACCTTTGTGTGCGTGATGGGTTGGTTGCAGACTTGTGTGCGCATACGCATTGGTATGTGTGCATCGTACATTTGTTGATGCTGATTTGGTTCTAATTGCGGGGACTAATTATGATGTTACATCTCAAATACTGGTGTTAAAATCTCAAATACCAGAATTATACCAATTGCTACTATTACTCAGTTTTCATAATTTGAATAATGTACTACGGTGCATAATTGTAAACTAAATTGCATGTTCAATATTGATGGAATAAACTTTTACTACCCTTCGTGTGATGTGAGTTTTTCTGGACAGGTGCGACTGTTGTGGCCTGGGAGGTCGCATATATTGCACGTCCTTTGTTTTTTCTTCTGTATCTTTGTGGTGGCTTTCTCTTTGTTGCTTTTGAGTCTCTTCCCACTTACTTTGTTCTTTGCAACTTGGGGTGGTTTTATTTGTATGTTGCTCGGTCTGCTTGCTCCGACTAGACTTTCGAACACAGATTCGTTGTTGCCATTGTCTTGTGTTTGTTGCCTTTCCCTTTCTAGATCTTTTTTCAGCTGTTGCAAAGTTGCCAACATGTGCTCCATTTTGTCAGGCCACCCATTGGCCAATCCCATGCAGTTGTAGAATTCACTCCATAGTTGATTGGCAACTTTTGTTGTTTCACTTGCCTTGGGAATATTTCTTCTTCTTGCCCACGGGACATCGTATAATGGGTGTGCACATGCGTCTCGTGTCCATCGTGGAACAATATACTTATGTGGGATTGATTCATACCCTCTTGCCTTCATAACCAACACCGCATGCTTGCATAGTATCCCCACACGAGTGAATTTCTTGCACGCACACTCAATTGTCTTCGATGTAGGGATTTCTGTTACTTTGAACAATTTTCCTCTTGTTTCTTCAACTGTGTAAATACATATGTCACCTACGTTGTTTTTGTTGGTGATGTGGCATGTGAAACTGGCATCCCATACCTCTTGTTGAAATTCATAGAATATGTTGATGGTGTAGACTGTAGCTGCGTGCTTCTCAATGCTCAAAGGGGTTTTAGTTTCCGGGTACGAACTTTCATTTTCTGCGATGACTTTTTTCTGGTTATGTCTCTGTTCTCCGATTGCACTGTTGTATTGCGCCATGAATTTTACCAAGCTGCAGTGGTGGTTTGTAAATTTTCCAAAATAGCTGTTTTCAGATTCTGACCTTGAAGTCGTCCTGAGTAGTCCTCCCATTAGTATGTCGTTGAAATACGCCGGTATCCATGATGTGCGTACCTCGTACAGTTGCCCAAACCACCTATGTTCTTCTAGTTTGTACTCCTTCATTAGTGTTGCCCATTTTGTCTCGAATTCATCTATGGTTAATGTGTCATCCCATACGATATTATTCAGTGCTGTTTTGAAGTCTGTATTATGCCACAAGGCAACCCCTACCTTTTCCCCGACTTTACTCATGATGTGCCACATACAGAATCTGTGCTTTGTCGTTGGCATAGTCTGTGGTACTACTATCTTCAGTGCTGGATCTTGGTCAGTTGTAGTACATCTTGGTGTGTATTCCATTGCATTCTTGAAATTGTTGACGAACCACTCATATGATTCCACATCTTCTTTCGCAATCAACCCCGCCCCAAATGTAATGCACCTTTTGTGGTTATCGACCCCCGTAAAAGGGACGAACACTAACTTGTACCTGCAATGTAAGGGGTGTTCTATTTAGTATTGGACATGGTAATTGAGCTTGGCCGAATATAATGGTGCTCGCTGCTGCGCACGTTGTTTTAGTTCATCGAGCACATGTTTTTTTTTTTTATTTACCTGCCCAGCTCTTACGCGCACAATCGTTTTACTGTTCGCGCACAGTCAGCGGTCACCATATTAACAGTAATACAACATGTACCTGTTTGTGTTGTACGTGGCATCGAATGACATGACGTCGCCAAAGCATGCATAATTCCTCCTACATTCTGCGTCCGCCCAGAATAACCTTGTTAATTGTGCGTCTTCGTCGATGTCAAAATCGAAGTAGAAGTCTGGGTTGTCCTCTTTTCTTTTGAACATGTCTTCTATCACCATTTGTGCATCTGCCTCCGCTATATAGGCCAATAGGTCCCGTCTAAAATTGCAGAAGTCAATGCACGTTGCTCCTATATCGGTAAAACTGCCCACTATTTCTTTGAATAGTCTGAAAGCTTTTGTGGGGCCTATGTTTGCCTTTGCACAGTGAGTTAAGAAGGTTTTGTGGCCGATGTCGAGTTGTCTATTTACCTTTAAAAAAGTTTTCCCCTCATCTGAGCAGAGGCAATGTGTATGCCGCACCTCAATTGCATGGACTTTATATCCGCCGGTGTCACACTTTGTCATTACCATATGAGCCCTACAGCCTATCCTGTTTGACACTCTCCTCCGTCTCTTGTTTTTTGATTCCTTCGGTTCGGCCTTGTACCCCTCTCGTGAGCATAGCATGTATTTAATTGACACTTCCCCGAAACGATTTCTACGCTTTGTGTCGTGCCTAACATCGAATCCTGCATCCTTAGCGTATGCCTCGTAGAACTCAATCCCGATATCTACTGTTTCGAATCGCTGCCCTTCGTATGGTGTCTTCTCCTTTCCTGTTGAAGGTGTCCAGAATTTTGTGCCATCTTCGCGTATTTCCATATCACATTCTTTTTCATTGTGCGTACCTATTCAAAACAACAAATACGCATTAATGGTGTCATGCAATAAACAATGTTGTGTTATAGCGTCGAGCTGTGTGTGATTTTGGGAATTTAAATATGTGCAGGTGAACTCTCTTTGTGTAGGTTTTAGCATTTTTCCGCGGTTACGGTTGTGTGCACGCATATTCTGTTTGATGTGCGCTTCATTTGGAACGGGATTGTTCACTGGGTATGCTAATACCCGTGCATGTCCATGGCTAGCTGTGTGCTCGGTTATACAATGTTGTTCCCCCCTCCACATATTACAGTAATCTCGCAATTGTTTATGATTAGGCCTTAACAAAACATTATTCTTTCATTCACACAAAAATTGCTTACGGATCAAAAAATTTACTGCTGCACCAATCTTGGAATAACAATTGTAATACTCAATCACGTTCAACTATATGTGTAGCATAATAAAGGGGGGATTTTAACCTGGTTTCGCTGGTTCCGTACCCTCCATGTGTCGCGCTCCTTCACTTGCTTTCGTATTGTCGCCCGTGTGTGTTCTCGCGGTGGTGATCGGCAGTGTGGTGTTCTTTCTCGTTTCAGTGGAGTTTGGCGCTTTGTTGGAGTGCCGTGTGTGGAGGAAATTGTGTAGTTGTAATAGAATTACACTTCGTTAATTAAGGGTGTATATCATAATTGATTATTTCCCTAAATTAGGATTGATTCAAATTGTCTCTATTGCCCTTTTTCATAACAGTTACTGATCGTGCCTCTTTTCTTAATTCAATCTAATCCATTAATCTAATATAATCTAATGGCCACAGGTTTGTATGTTAAGAAGGTTTGCATGTGAATGGCTCCCTCTATATATATATATATATATATATATATATATATATATATATATATATATATATATATATATATATAATATGTAGTAAATCCCAATTACATTCATATGCTACACTTGCACCAAATTATTATTATTATTATTATTATTATTATTATTATTATTATTATTATTATTATTATTACACCCTAATCCTAAATCACCTTGCCTAATCTTAAAAATGGTTGCGTCATGTACGGTACGTCCCTATACGCTTAAATCTATATATATGTGTGTGTATAAACTTGTGAGCCTATAGAACATCCTCCCCTATTCATACGTATTCATATAAATTGTTACATTATATACAATAAATCCCTAGCCCCCAAACCATACACATGTACCCTCGCTACAATAATCTTATGCACACCTATAAGCTTGCCTTTAGCATATCCTAACCCTGAAATATCATCCCGTACAAATTATATCACTATTATATATATACATATATATACACATATCCTGAGATAACCCTAATTCTACTTTTCCCCCTCGCATGACCTCCCTATTACCACTCCTACCTTCCCTAAATAATTAAAAACTTTAACCTCATCATCAGGTCATGAATTGATTTAGGAATTAGCAACCAATGGTCTTCAACTCTAAAGTTGTTTAGGTATCCCGGGCTTCTAGAGGTAAGATTTATACCTACCTAAAATCTGATTACCACCAAGATAAAACTAATTTTCTAAGTGCTTGTGTGATTGAAATTCTCAAGGTAGAACCTCTAGTACTTGTGAACCTAGGCCATCTTACTCGTACTTACTAAAATATTTGTATGCGAACTACATGGTCCAAACTATAGGTCGGAATTTATATTTTTCATGTGCATTACATGTCAAATCACATAGCTCACATGTTTATGTTAAAATACACACTTACCCGCATTTCTGCATATATACAAAGCATGTTAGACAAAAACTGTATGTTATAGGACATCCCACTATACATATATGCAATATTATTAGTTACAACCAATCTGCATATAAGTGCCAATACTTGTTATGTGATCACCCACCGTAATTCATGGTATACAAAATAAAGATCCTAATTCAATTGTCTCCCCAGAATTTATTTACGCCATAAAAAGCAAGAACCTTTCTCCTAATTACTTATAATCTTTTCCTCAGAACCTAATTTCCGCTATTTGAATAATTGTTATATGATTTATGACCTTCCTGAATTTATATGACAAAAGTTTGGTTATGCCACGATACTAAGTACGTGAATTTAATTGTTAATCATGCACTAGAATAACATGTGGAATAATACATATGTGTGTTTTATGATTCCATAGGACTAGTTATTATTTAAATACTTGAAATAAATCCACATACCTTCACACTCTATACCTATAGACTTAAGGAAATCGCATATATAGCATAATTACAATTGAACACATATAGGCATGCCAACTTGCAGGTTTTGCATATAACATAAATAGTTAATTATCATACATGTTAGGCTTGTTATTTCGTAACTGTGAATATTTGGTATGATCTGCTAAGCACAAAGATTAGACATAGATCCTACATAAACGGCACCTAGACTCACAACATGCTACACTACATAATTAAATGTCTGCATCCATTCGTAAATTAGGTTCGCCTGTGTTGATATATATGCATATACACTTTATAATGATTATGTGGCTATCTGAATCTTCACCCGCGTGGCATTTGCCTCTCATTTAGGTACATAAATAATTATGTGATCGGTACAACTCGTGATCATATATGTTGAATCATTATAAAATAATTAAATGAGGGACATGCCACATGTAAGACTTCTATGTTATATATCAGTCACCCGTAGAACTTACATATTGTGTGTTGCATATTCGTGACCTTGTTATTTGGTGCATTTTGCTAGCACAATAGTTAGGCTCAAACCCAGTAAATTTATATGCGTATGTGTATATATTTCCCATATAATACTTTCCTTATGAACTACAATACTAATTCGGGCTCTTTACCCCAAAATGATTTCTAAGCTTCGGGGAGGAAGCTTCTTGTAAGGGGGGGAGAGTGTAACACCCCGTGTTACGGCCCTTAATCCCGAATTAATTATTTAATTAATTCTATTAATAATAATTAAAAAGGATTTAATTTGATTAGAAATCTCTTTAATTAATTAACGTGGTCTAACACGGATCGTGGACCCTTGCCTAAACTAGAGTCATAAGCCTATTAGGAATAAAGAAAGTATACCTTTACTATTCAGATTATGGTTAGGATTCTCTTTAATTAATTAATATGGTCCACCATGGACCATGGATCCTTATCCCTAAAACAAGTCCTTAATCCTATAAGGAATAGAATTAGTAAACCCATAACCATTCAGACCCTAATTAGGACTCCTAAATATATATATATATATATATAAGGACATAGGAGGCACCTAGAAGTCACACCACAATAAATATCACCACACAAGAACTCCCAAGGGACTCCCCACCACCAAGCCTAGGGAGATCAAAACGGATGGAAATCTTAGGGAAGAACCTTAATAGCTAAGGGATGATTAATTAAGGCTAAGAGGTAACCCATGTCTCAACAAAACCTATTTTCTTCGCTATAATCTCCTTCCTTGGCCTCCCTCTATATTCTTGTGTCTCGATTGAATTCTTCTATGATAATTATGTTATGTTCTTGATGATTGATAAGATGATTTATATGCTTTCTTGATAATCTTGATGATCTTGATGATCTTGATGTTAAAAGAAGTTCTTGATTATGATGTGATGATTCTTAATGAATCTTGATATTTTCTTGATGTTAAAGATAAAATATGTTCTTGATGATTTGGGTGGGATTAGAGCCCTAGGTCGGATTGGGAATTTGTATTGTGACGTTCTTGATTTATATTTGGGTGGGATTTCGCATGTTCGGATGTTGTTTATATTAGAAATCATAATAGGAAAGTCCTACATGATTCTTGCTTTTTGATCCGTTAACTGCTTACGTGGTGTCGTTATTTACGTTTAAAAGTGTCTAAGCATGATTTCGGGTTCCACGAAGGTCCCCGAGACGAAATTATGGTAAAGGAGTCAGTGGGGGTAGGTGGGGGTAGGGGAACCCGCCACCTACCCACTGCCCAGAAAACACCGCCGGGCAGTTGCCTGCCCGCCGGCAACCCGCTGCCGGAACAGTGAATTCCGGCGGGCAGCCGGCGAGTGACCCCACCCACCGGCTACCCGCTGGTCCATACCCCACCCCGGGTCCCCGGCTTCCCCGTTTGGTGTTCCCCGTTCCCCATTGTTTCTCAACGGACCCCGTTTGTCGTGCCTGAGTCTAGTTTAGAATTTCGGGTACCATTCATAGGTTAAACGAGTCTTAGGAATTGCATGCTAGTTGAATTGGTAACCCGTGGACCTAGGTGGAAGTTATATGAGCCCCTAGGAATTATTCTTAGTATGTGAACAATCACAAGTAAGCTTAATTATATGTCTCCCCCTCCCTATGTGAATTATGTGTTATTACGTGTCATTGTGTGTTACGTGATGCATGACCCTAACTTGGTTAAGATCAATTGGGCTATACGGGCAGTTGAATGGGTTGAGAACCATCCCAACTGTTAACCAGGCTGGTTAAGATCGGTCAGGGATATTGATATGATATAGGACTGAGGTCCACTATACGGGCAGTTAAATGGGCTGAGAACCATCCCAACTGTTAACCAGGCTGGTAGAGACCGGTCAGGTATATAAAGATTATGTATAGGACTGAAGGTCCACATGGGCCTCGGTGATATGACCCACCGACCTGGACGCGCCAGGCGGTGTGTAGGGCCAACAAGCCGAGGAAGGCTGTAGTCCACCGACCTGAGTAATCAGGCGGTGTGCAGGGCTACGGCTGGCCGATCCACCGAGTGGTGGGACATCGGTACGTAGGACCGTAGTCTCCGAGAATCTTTGCCCACCGACTGAGTTTAGCTCAGCGATGTGTCGGGCTTGATCCGCTACGGTCCACCGATTGTGCGCATCAATAGGGTGTAGGGTCGTAAGTCCCCCCTTGTAAAGGGGATCGCGGTCCACCGACTGGGCGCGTCAGCGGTGTGTCGGATCGTGGTCCGACGTTGAGTTCGTCAGCGGTTCTCAAAGGGTTGGTTGCGATCAA